GGGAAAAATCTGGTTTGAATTTTATTGCAGCTCAACTGAATGCTTTATTAGATCGATGTCGAATCACGATACTTCCTATAACTATAATAGATATGAATTATCTGAAAAGTTTGATATTAATGGAAACAATGGACTTACAAACATTCAATACATTGCTAAACATAACAATCAGTCGAACGTTTAAAAATTTTATAATATCAACAGGTTATATGTATCATTGGATTTTTAATGATATTTTTCAAGCTAATCAATTTCAAAATGAATTTATGACAAGTTGGAAAATCGAATTTTCAAGCTTAGAAGAAAATTACATTATTCGTACGAGTCCAGTTTCCTTAATGAATGATAGTTGTTTTTGTGCAAGTTTAAAATCGAATTTTACAAAGACGCCTATCTTTTATGATAGGAATTGTGAAACAACAATATTACCTGGGAAGGTTTTTTAATTGAGTGTGTTATTATAAAATTCTAATTATCATTTTACATTCATTTATTGAGATTTTCAATAACATCTGTAATTAACAGAAATTTGAAAGAATTTTACAATTGTTTTTTTTCATCTGATAATTTTAGGTTTTGTAGTTGGATGCTCAGTCATGATTGCTCTTTATCAATCAACACTTGAATGTTTCTATGATGATATTTGTCTGGCTAAACTGAATAGATTTTCACTTACTTCATTCACTACATTGAATATTAATGAAACACGATTTTCACCAACAACTCCTATCCGTGTGATTCTAGAAGAGAATTTATTAGAATCATGGAATTATTCTAAATATTTTGAATTATGTTTTCCATCAATATCATTATACTGAAAATAATAATCCTATCTATATATTTACAACATTACTTGGATTGTACGGTGAATTAACTGCAGTCCTAAAAGTTTTCGTTTGGTATTCATTTCGTCTCTGTCGATATATTATGGAACGATGTTCATATTTATTGCGACGTATTTATCCATCACCCTAAATTTGAATGAATTGCTCATTATATTATTAATGCTTTATTTTCGATATTGTATCTCTTTTTCCTTTTATTCGACTTAATTAGCATAAAAAATAAGTTTGCTTTTTTGCAATAAGAAAATTTATTTTCATATTATATTCCTATTTCGTTTAATATTTATTCAACATTCATTAGTTACTTACTAAATAATAAAACATAATCACAAATTTCTTGCAATTTCATGCAACAATTAATCAACTATAGGAATCTTTCTTAAATAAATTTCAATTTTATCTCGTATAAAACTATGAAATATATGACAAAATTTGTTTTCTCATTTTTTCAACAGAAAGTTTCAGAATCATTTATCTTAATCGTACGAAATATATGCATAGTACAGCAAGATGTATGAAAATAGATATAAAAGAGAATATTCAAGACATGATATCTATAATAAATTGGAATATTTATTTAATGAATATGTTTAGTGTAACAAACTGTACAATTGAAAAATACTTCTTAAAAGCTTGTTTTTCTTGTAATTGACTCAATCATGAAATTATCTATTAAAAACTACAATTGATAAATGTTTTATCGTGAAAAATATATTAAGTAATGTTAAACTTAATTTTATGATTTCAAATATATGAATTAAAAGATTTAGTTTATACAAAATTTATTGATCTAAAATCTTTAAGTCAACTATAATGATATATCTTGCTGCTATAAAATCTTTTTATAAGAAAATCATTTCGAATATATCGATCGTATTTTTTTTTTCCAGAGAAGAATTTTTAAGTGATAAACGTCATCAAAGTATAAATTATCTATATTTCTGATACATTCGACAGTGATCAAGATGTCTTTTCGTCCTTCATATAACTAAAAAAAAAATGTACAAAATGAGATGAAAACATAAATAATTGTTAATTATTTTTAGTATATTTGATTTAATTCCTTTACATTTTTTTCGATATAATCAAAAAAAAAGCGTCTATATTTGTCTGTCTGTAACATAGTTATTAGTTCTATATTAAAAAAAAGCTAATATTGAAGAAGGAGTTATATGTTAAATTATCTTTTAAATTTCTTCTTTACTTCAATTAGGACCCATTTTATTTTAGATTTCTTCGGATACAAATTTCAATTCAATCGATTTACGATAATTTTCATTTGCTTTTTAATTTTAATTTCATTTTAAACTAAAGTGAATATATATTTACGTAAAATTAATTAATTAATGATTGTTTTATCAGAAAATATTTTCTCTGTTTGCATATTATTGCAGTCTTGAAAGAATAAAAAAAACCTTTGATAGATTAATCATGTATCCACAGAGGATTGTTATTTTTTGGTTTTTTAAAGTAAAAGCAACAATAAATTTTATGACATTGTTACAATTTATTTTGAATGATTTCATGAATAAGAACAAAATGAAAAATAGAAAAATTTTGCATAAATACTTTGAACACACATTATATTTTTTTTCTACTATTAAATAAATTTCTTCTGATTAATTACTCAATATAATACTGATAATTTCCAATAATATTTTCTATATGCTTCAGTAATTCGTTGAGATTAAAGTCAATATTAAGTATAAAGCTGAAAAAATAAAATTTACTGATTCTAGAAGAAATTAACATAACAAATATTGAAAACAATCAATCTACTTATTAAATAGTGAATGAAAAGAAAAACATTCAAATTAATCTTCGTGTTTGTTATATTGCACTTTTTTGATAATATACGTTCAGTTAAAGTAATTTATTAAATTTTTAATAAACGACAGCGCTACTCTTTCTTAATATTCTACATCATAACTATAGTATTCTAAATATAAGTTAATGATTAAATGATAGTATTATATCAGGTTAGATGATACATGGAATTAAATAAATAATTGAATGTTTCAGTGATCGATTTCGAAAAAGAAATAAAATTCTACTTTTTCGAATTATAGACAAGATTGTTACACGATAAAGTTTTCGATATATAAAATTTTTGTTCGAAGTTTTTTATCTGAAGAATTCTTTGACTTGCTTCTTTTAAGATAAAACTCAAACTATCTGCTCTTGGGAATACAATATATTTTTATTTTGTTAGAAATTATAAGCTAAACAACTTCGAAATCACAAACATTAACGAAAACTTGGTTCTATGAAAAGAAAAAATAAATGTTATTTTATAGAAGTCAAGACATTTCTCACAAATATCTAATAAATACTTAACATTATTTTTTGTTTTTCTAAAATAGTCAAATTATTGATTAATGTCTTAACATATGTAAATCAATCTTCAATCTAATTATCATAGATGAAACTAAAAATTTGACATATTGTTCGATATGTGTTAATGTTAAGCAGTTTCATGAGGTTAAAAAAGCTCAGTTTATGAAGCACTATGGATTATAATATGTAGAAAGTCTCATTTTATACAGAATATTTAGTTCAATAAAATATCTTCTTTGCATACTCATAACATGTCTTCTTGTAGAAATCATAGATATAAATTTTATTATCATAAAGAAAGTGATAATAATCAATGTTAAAAGATCTATATACGTAGTTAATATGACCTGGATCATATTTTATGCTAAATAATCTTTCTGACTGTGAAAATTCTTTTCTAAATTTAAGTAATATATGATGTTTAAAGTGTTCAAACAATAGATCAATATATAATATAATATTATTTATAAATTTTGATACCCCAGAAAGAAAAATATTTGTTCAACTTAACACTTTAAAATTAGAGGTTTCTATTTTGAAAATTATCTATATAAATGATTTTGTTTTGATAGAAATTTATTTAGATACTAAAAGAGATTTATGTTGACTTGATTTATAACTTCATCTTTTTGTTACTAATGATTTCAATTGTTACAAAGAAAATGTCTCGTTTTTTTAAAAAATTCTATTAACGGGTGGGGCAAAAGTTTTGCATTAATTTTGTTTTTAATATAATTTTAAAAAAATTCCATGTGCTTTTCAAGTCACCATATGCAGCATCATGATAAAAATTTATGACACGTAATCTAAGTTTTTCTCGTTCGTTCTCCTTCATTTCGAACAGAAACACATATGACAATTGAACCAATATAGGTATATATACTATGAATCATTCTCTGTCTAATAGAAAACATTGAACACTCTACGATATTCCCACGTAGTATAGAAAGAAAAAGGAAATCAGCGTACAAGGATTGTCACATCCATTCATGATAGAAATTTTTTTTTCTAAATTCAAAAGAGTTGCGGAACAGTTTTTCAGGGTCTATAGTTCTAAGACCTCTATCGCTTTCATAAAACGTTTCCAATCAAACTCTTTTATATAGTTTTGTAGTAGACACTTTGCTCTTTCTAACAAAAAAAAAATCAAGTCTCTACGACATTCCTTTGCAGAGTTATATTAAAAACAACCCAGTGAAAAAAAGTCAAATTATACGTGATTTTGTGAGATTATCATTGGATTTTTCTGCAACAAAATCCAAATTATAATTGATTGAAATTTTCCAAATCAAAAATAATTCTTCGAAATCAACAATACTTTAGATTTTAATCAAAATTTTAATTGATTTTGAGGATTATTTCGGATTAAAAAAACTTTTCGAAATCAATTAAAATCCAATATAATTTGATTAA